CCTATGACAGGTCCCTGTGAGTCAGAAACGACTAGATAGCAATGGATGTACTTACGTAAAATCATTTATTTCTTATTTTGAGTGTTGGCTACGTGCTACCATGGAGCCCACTCAAATGCATTGCTAGCCTCTATTGAGTCTGGAGACTTTACATCTTTACAGGAGAACACAGCCTCATCTGGTAGGTGTCAGCCATTCAGGTCACAGTTAGTAGCTCATTGCTTCCCCCACAGTCCCACCAGGCCCCTAAAGGGATGGTTACACAAGTAATTTCGGTCCCTGTAAATATTTTCAAGCAGTGCTGCCTGTGCACTTGTCTGTATGTATGTTATATTTCAATGAAGAGTTCACTTAGAAACTCATAACCATTATAAAACGTACTGCCATCAAGGCAATTCTGACTCATAGTGCCCCTGTCAGTTTCCCAGACTGTAACTCACTTTTTCCCCTCACAGCATTGGGTGGTTTTGAACTGCTGACTTTGGGGTTAACAGCCCAACATACAAACACTATGCTACCAGGACTCCTGAATAACCATGAAAAATGGATTTAAAACCTGAGAGAGCCAGCCACCACAACACCACTAGCCTGATCCTCAGTTTACAAGTCCACTTTTGCAGCATGCTGTAGGCAAATTATATATATATAGTCTTTCTTTCTGATGGATACAGTTTTTGTTGCTTGATTTGTTTTTTGGTGATACCTTGGGAATGACTGCTTCCTAAGTTTTCATTTCTTTAAAGACAACTTAAGGTTTTCAAAAGAAAATATCATAAATTAAATCCTTGCATGCGCTACATTTCTAGAACAACAGATCATGATAGAATCATTTTAAAAGTGAGCTGAGCCCTGCTTAGTGAGTGGTTTTCAAGAATCCGAGTTTGTTTTCTAGTATTACACTTTAGTGGTTAATGAGTTGGCCTATTAATTGCAAGTTCACCAGTTCAAACACACCAGCAACACCATGAAAGAAAGAGAGACTTTCTGAACCGGTGAAGATGTACAGCCTTGGGAATCCTCAGGGGAAATTCTACTTTGTTCTGTAAGTGCCCTGTGAGTGGAAATAGACTCAACTGGATGGCAGTGAATTGGGTTTTGTTTGGGTTTGTTTTTCAAGAGTAAGAATTCCAGGAGGGAGGGAGTACTAACCCTCCATTGACTAAATCCACTGGCCCTCTCTCTGAGAAGTGCAGAGAAGGAATGCAGATGTTTTCCTTCTGGATGAGGACAAAGGTCCTAAAAAAAAAAATCCCTATTTCATCTCTTAAAACCCCGAGAGGCTTAGTGAGAATCCTTGTTTTGAAATTTTCCTAAAGAGAAGGCAAATTATTTGCTAAAACTCCCCAAGAGGCAGCTCACTTTCTGAATGATTCCTTTGCTACAATTCAAGTGTCAGAATCAAAAGGGTTAGTTAGACTCAATCTAAAAAGCGGGTCTCCGGCATTACAGACGGATGCCCAAGTGCATCAGGAGCTCCCCCGTCGGGTGGTCTGCAAAGCTGGCCTTCTGAGCTCCACGAGCTGAAGTAGGACGTTGCCAGGCAGATTTGGTGAAGATGAGTGTCCAGATCACGCAGCTGCATCCTATTGGATGCTGTGGTAGCCTTTTTTTTTTTTAATCCAGTCTAAAGGAGAGAATTGTAATACAGCACTTGAATTCATGGACTTTTGAACACGACTAATCTGGGTTTGAATCTCAGCCATGTGGCCCTGGGCAAATCACGTCTCCCTTTCTCCTTTCCTACGTGGTTTTCTTGGAATCTGGAGCAGGGTTGATAATATCAGTCACTGGATTTCTCTGGCTGTCCGTTGCCATCAAGTGTGTGGGACGCATGGCTACCC